TCCCCCTTCTGTGAGGTGAAACACTCCCCCTTCTGTGAGTTGAAACACTCCCCCTTCTGTGAGGTGAAGTACTCCCCCTTCTGTGAGGTGAAGTACTCACCCTTCTGTGAGGTGAAACACTCCCCCTTCTGTGAGGTGAAACACTCCCCCTTCTGTGAGTTGAAACACTCCCCCTTCTGTGAGTTGAAACACTCCCCCTTCTGTGAGGTGAAGTACTCCCCCTTCTGTGAGATGAAACACTCCCCCTTCTGTGAGTTGAAACACTCCCCCTTCTGTGAGGTGAAGTACTCCCCCTTCTGTGAGATGAAACACTCCCCCTTCTGTGAGTTGAAACACTCCCCCTTCTGTGAGTTGAAACACTCCCCCTTCTGTGAGGTGAAGTACTCCCCCTTCAGTGAGGTGAAACACTCCCACCTCTGTGAGGTGAAGTACTCCCCCTTCTGTGAGGTGAAGTACTCACCCTTCTGTGAGGTGAAACACTCCCCCTTCTGTGAGGTGAAACGCTCCCCCTTCTGTGAGGTGAAACACTACCCCTTCTGTGGGTTAACACTTGATCCACAAGGCTACACCTCGACAGATGAGGGTCTACCAAACTGATTATTGTCTGATACAGATAATCATGATAACTCCATTACTGTCTCCGTTAAAAGTAAAAACTGGAAACAGTTTATTTATTTTATTTATTTCAGGAACCAGATCACAAACCATTCTGTTTTCCCAAGATGCTTCATAAATCTTCAGCTTGTATATCATCTTCCTGCTGCTTTGGAATGAAAACTAGAAAAAGCCCACAAAAACTTGCTTATGTATATTATTTTTGTGCAAAAAGTGACACTTGAGATATTAAATTTGAACATGAAGAAATGATGAAATACTTTTTGATACTCATTTCTATTAATGCATTTTTTTCAAAGCAATTGACCTTTACTGTTCTGCTTGCTGAAGGGGCATCAAGTTTTGAAATTCTATAAACAAATTTACTTGATGCCAGAGAATTGTTTTTGGAAGTCAGCCAGGAGTAAACTTGATTCTATCAGAAGTTTGTTATTATTGAAGGGTCCAAACTAAATTTTTAAAGAATCCAAACTTTGATTACAAAACTTTTCATTCGTTCTTCTCTTTTAGACTTGCGTCTGCATAATCATTGACCTTTGGTGCAAATGTAATCATTGTTACCACATCGTGACAAGGTGGGGCCATTCCCGTGATGTAGCTATACAATTCACAGTTATTTCATTGAACAGTTCACTGTTTGTGCTCTTGACACTGAGTGTGTTTGAAGTGTCTGATTTAGTTACTAACTTACTGTACATGTTGTTTATATTGTAATGATTCTTGTGGTAGAGTAGTACAGAGTAGGGTGATACAGAATTGGGTAGTGTAGGACAGCACAAAGGAGGATAGTGTAGAGTAGTGTTGTGTTGGATGGTACAGAATAGTGTTGTGTTGCATGGTACAGGGTGGTGTTGTGTTGGATGGTACAGAGTTGTGTTGTGTTGCATGGTACAGGGTGGTGTTGTGTTGGATGGTACAAAGTTGTATTGTGTTAGATGGTACAGAGTGGTGTTGTGTTGGATGGTACAGAGTGGTGTTGTGTTGGTACAGAGTTGTGTTGTGTTAGATGGTACAGAGTGGTGTTGTGTTGGATGGTACAGAGTGGTCTTGTGTTTGATGTTACAGAGTTGTGTTGTGTTTGATGGTACAGAGTGGTGTTGTGTTGGATGGTACAGAGTGGTGTTGTGTTGCATGGTACATGGTGGTGTTGTGTTAGATGGTACATAGTGGTGTTGTGTTGTGTTGTGTTGGTACAGACTGGTGTTGTGTTGTGTTGGTACATAGTGGTGTTGTGTTGTGTTGGTACAGAGTGGTGTTGTGTTGGTACAGAGTGGTGTTGTGTTAGATGGTACAGAGTGGTGTTGTGTTGGATGGTACAGAGTGGTGTTGTGTTGGTACAGAGTTGTGTTGTGTTAGATGGTACAGATTGGTGTTGTGTTTGATGGTACAGAGTGGTGTTGTGTTTGATGGTACAGAGTTGTGTTGTGTTTGATGGTACAGAGTGGTGTTGTGTTGGATGGTACATAGTGGTGTTGTGTTGTGTTGTGTTGGTACAGAGTGGTGTTGTGTTGGATGGTACAGAGTTGTGTTGTGTTTGATGGTACAGAGTGGTGTTGTGTTGGATGGTACAGAGTTGTGTTGTGTTGCATGGTACATGGCGATGTTGTGTTTGATGGTACAGAGTGGTGTTGTGTTAGATGGTACATAGTTGTGTTGTGTTAGATGGTACAAAGTGGTGTTGTGTTGGATGGTACAGAGTGGTGTTGTGTTGGTACAGAGTTGTGTTGTGTTGGATGGTACAGAGTGGTGTTGTGTTTGTACAGAGTTGTGTTCTGTTAGATGGTACAGAGTGGTGTTGTGTTGGATGGTACAGAGTGGTGTTCTGTTAGATGGTACAGAGTGGTGTTGTGTTGGATGTTACAGAGTGATGTTGTGTTGGAATGTACAGATTGGCTCAGGTGGTGGTGTTACTCAGGGAATATATAGCTGGTACGGTTGCCTGAATGTAAGATGACTCAGGTGGTGGTGTTACTCATGGAATTTATGGCCAGTACAGTTGCCTGAATGTAAGATGATGGTTGTGATTGTCTGAATGTAAGATGGTGGTTGTCTGAATGTAAGATGGTGGTTGTCTGAATGTAAGATGATGGTTGTGGTTGTCTGAATGTAAGATGGTGGTTGTCTGAATGTAAGATGGTGGTTGTCTGAATGTAAGATGATGGTTGTGGTTGTCTAAATGTAAGATGGTGGTTGTCTGAATGTAAGATGGTGGTTGTCTGAATGTAAGATGATGGTTGTGGTTGTCTGAATGTAAGATGGTGGTTGTGGTTGTCTGAATGTAAGATGGTGGTTGTCTGAATGTAAGATGATGGTTGTGATTGTCTGAATGTAAGATGGTGGTTGTCTGAATGTAAGATGGTGGTTGTCTGAATGTAAGATGATGGTTGTGGTTGTCTGAATGTAAGATGGTGGTTGTCTGAATGTAAGATGGTGGTTGTCTGAATGTAAGATGATGGTTGTGGTTGTCTGAATGTAAGATGGTGATTGTCTGAATGTAAGATGGTGGTGTCTGAATGTAAGATGATGGTTGTGATTGTCTGAATGTAAGATGGTGGTTGTCTGAATGTAAGATGGTGGTTGTCTGAATGTAAGATGATGGTTGTGATTGTCTGAATGTAAGATGGTGGTTGTCTGAATGTAAGATGGTGGTTGTCTGAATGTAAGATGATGGTAGTCTGAATGTAAGATGATGGTTGTCTGAATGTAAGATGGTGGTTGTGGTTGTCTGAATGTAAGATGGTGGTTGTGGTTGCCTGACAGGGGATATCCCACTACAAGCTATGAGGCGTGAGGTATGGGACATCCCACTACATGCTATGAGGCGTGAGGTATGGGACATCCCACTACATGCTATGAGGCGTGAGGTATGGGTCATCCCACTACATGCTATGAGGCGTGAGGTATGGCACATCCCACTACATGCTATGAGGCGTGAGGTATGGCACATCCCACTACATGCTATGAGGCGTGAGGTATGGGACATACCACTACATGGTATGAGGCGTGAGGTATGGCACATCCCTCTACATGGTATGAGGTGTGAGGTATGGGACATCCCACTACATGCTATGAGGCGTGAGGTATGGGACATCCCACTACATGGTATGAGGCGTGAGGTATGGCACATCCCACTACATGCTATGAGGCGTGAGGTATGGGACATCCCACTACATGCTATGAGGCGTGAGGTATGGGACATCCCACTACATGCTATGATGCGTGAGGTATGGGACATCCCACTACATGGTATGAGGTGTGAGGTATGGCACATCCCACTACATGGTATGAGGCGTGAGGTATGGGACATCCCACTACAAGCTATGAGGCGTGAGGTATGGGACATCCCACTACATGCTATGAGGTGTGAGGTTTGGGACATCCCACTACATGGTATGAGGTGTGAGGTATGGGACATCCCACTACATGCTATGAGGCGTGAGGTATGGCACATCCCACTACATGCTATGAGGCGTGAGGTATGGCACATCCCACTACATGGTATGAGGCGTGAGGTATGACACATCCCACTACATGCTATGAGGCGTGAGGTATGGCACATCCCACTACATGCTATGAGGCGTGAGGTATGGGACATCCCACTACATGCTATGAGGCGTGAGGTATGGGACATACCACTACATGGTATGAGGCGTGAGGTATGGCACATCCCACTACATGGTATGAGGTGTGAGGTATGGGACATCCCACTACATGCTATGAGGCGTGAGGTATGGGACATCCCACTACATGGTATGAGGCGTGAGGTATGGCACATCCCACTACATGCTATGAGGCGTGAGGTATGGGACATCCCACTACATGCTATGAGGCGTGAGGTATGGGACATCCCACTACATGCTATGAGGTGTGAGGTTTGGGACATCCCACTACATGGTATGAGGTGTGAGGTATGGGACATCCCACTACATGCTATGAGGCGTGAGGTATGGCACATCCCACTACATGCTATGAGGCGTGAGGTATGGCACATCCCACTACATGGTATGAGGCGTGAGGTATGACACATCCCACTACATGCTATGAGGCGTGAGGTATGGCACATCCCACTACATGCTATGAGGCGTGAGGTATGGGACATCCCACTACATGCTATGAGGCGTGAGGTATGGGACATCCCACTACATGCTATGAGGCGTGAGGTATGGGGCATCCCACTACATGCTATGAGGCGTGAGGTATGGCACATCCCTTTACATGCTATGAGGAGTGAGGTATGGGACATCCCACTACATGCTATGAGGCGTGAGGTATGGGACATCCCACTACATGCTATGAGGCGTGAGGTATGGGACATCCCACTACAAGCTATGAGGCGTGAGGTATGGCACATCCCACTTCTTTTGCTCATGATGGGATTTCGAACCATGGGTCCTCTGATCCAAGGTTGGATGCGTTGTCAACATGACCAAAGAGGTTGACACTCAGTAAGCTGACGAGGTAAGGACATCCTCAGTGGGATGACTCCACCCCTTGCTACAAATGCACCCTCTCTCTTCCAGTGCTAAGTAGTAGTAGGTTGAAAGTCATAGTAGACTGTAATTTCAGCTGTTTAGATTTTGTAAAATGTTTCAGGCTAATTGTCTTTGACAGTTTTTCATGTGTGGTCACACACTTAGTAGCGTTAATGTTAATGTGTCTGTTGTGCTGATCTCAGAAATGTCACACACTGAGAAACTGCAAATGTTGTTAATTTCATTCCTGGCAAAGGTTGAGAAGTAGTACTCAGTATAGTCTTCAACAGTTCCATCTTGTCTGGCATATTCACGAAGGACTGAGAAACCAAGATGTGAGAGGTCTGTTCTGAAGACATGTCTTTGGTTTTACTCATCGAAGTGTTCGACAAAGCGCATACTGTTTTTAGTCCGGATCATGTGAATGCCTTGTCATATGAGGTGAAATGTGCATGCTTAAAAGTGACATCTTGGTCAGGTTATGGATTGTGACAAACAATTACTTAGCTGTTAATCTTCCGCAGATGTAATCAGCTTCACATAGTCCTAAAGTATTAGACATTTAGTTACACTTTTATCAAGTTTGTTCCTTTCTCTTCACATTTATGCAATATCCACATACTTAAGAGAATCACGTTCAGTTCCTTGTAAATCGTACATAGCTTTCACTCTAGAAATTGTTTGTCATGTTTAGTTTCTTGATTGCTAAACAGGTAAGTGATTCACATTTACTTGATTAGTTGTAATCTATTTTTAGTCCAACTCTGCATATTATAAGCTCCACTGGTCAACAAGCGCAAATGATTCAGCGTATATGTATAACATTGTAATAAAGACTCTTAACTTTTCCATGGATTTTTTAGAGCTTTATAAATATTGGCTGCAATGTTTTTACAGTGTTTAGGGAGCAGAGTGCTGTGTAGGGACATCTTATGTCAATGAGGCATTTTGGTAAAAAAAATCGCTATTAATGACAATGTTTTGCAAATTAAGAGATAGTCAAACCGTAAATTTGGCGGGAATCTTTTATCTGGGTAGGTAAGAGTCATTTCAGATTTGACATGCTATAAACAGGATGTCCCCGTGAGGGGAGTCTGGATTAGAATTGGTGTGCAGGAACCTATGCTTGCTGTAGAACTATAATACAACTAGATGGATCGGTGGTCAGGCTCAGTAACTTTTTTGTTCAGAGTTATTCTACTCTGATGGTGCGTGACGTTTCTCAAAATTTCAATCCCTAGGTTTGTCTGTTTCAGATTCAGTTGATTAAGGCTGCTGATATAGCTGAAATTTTGCATACTGTGATGTAAAACAACCACGTTTTCAGTTTAATCTTGATCCTAAAACTTGTCCATTAATACAGTGTTTATGTATAGCATCATAATAAAAACTCTGTTAACTTTTCCATGGAATTTTAACAGCTTTACGAATGTTTACATTCTGCTGAAGAACTCTGGCTCCAATGTTTTTACAGTGTTTAAGGAGAAGTGTGCTTTGTCAGGGACATCATATGTCAATGAGGCATTTTGTAAAAATAAACCTTTTTTCACTATTAATGACAGTGTTTTGCAGTTTAGGAGATGCTTGTTGAATGAGGCCTCTGAACTGTTGTGCCTTCTCAGGGTTTTAAGTGCAAGATGGAGAAATACTCTACAGTCACTTTGAAAACTGAAAAATCACAAGCCAGTGTTACAAGTTGGTGAAAGAAGTTGGGCGTGATGAAAGCAACACCAATTTCACTCTGACAGCGTGTGTATATTTTCTCAGGAAATATAGCCATCTCCATGCAGAGAGAAGGGCAGTTAGGGCTTTCCTTGAATTATTAGGATTTACAATATCTTGCTCTTCGTGCCCAAGAGCGATTGCGTATCTTTTGTAGACTTCAGTATTGTTGAAGGATCTTAATGCATTAAATATTTGTGAGATCACTTGGCTTTTAACGCTTAGCATAATGTCATTATAGAGTGAAGACAGGAAAATGTCTAGACGTCTTCATGCATGGGAGTAGGATGGTGTTGATGTACATTATGTGATCAACTTAAAGACTAGCCCTTAGGATGCTGCAAAGTAATTACTTGGTCATTGTTTGTCAGTTTATTGTCTGGCAAGCAGCTGGAAGATATTTTATTTTTAAATAATTGTCTCTTTTGTACAAAGAATTCCTCATGAAGAAGTCAAAATGTCTCTTGATTGAAGTATGGTGATGATTCTTCTGTTTTTATCACTACATTGACTGTGAATATCACTTTCCTGTTTTCCAATTGGTTGTATAACCAAATTGTTGGCATCAGGCATAATTGTTCATGTCTGTTTCTAGTTAATGATGCACTCAGTGATATTCCAGCTGTATGGCCTGTAAAAAATGAAGTCTGCCTCAGACAAGCCAGTGATTGGTATTTCGAGCAATGACCACGCTGTTAGTGTATGTTGACATGCTATCAACCAGGCCACCAAGGCGGACCACTTGATTCTTCAAGTTGTCTCATACAACCAGTGTTGGTTGTTGGCACAATTTTTACCTGAAGCCCACATGCTGGGGGTCTACGTCTAACTGCAGGGTTTACCACATGCATGATATCCTTTCCTGAGCAGGTCTTGAAAACCGTACAATATTTCTTCATCAAACTTGGCACATAGATAAGTCTGGTGGTAAATTTGTTCCTTTTGATAGTTTGGGATTTTTGAAAAAAATATTTTTTGAGTTTCCATAGCAACAACTTTAACTTAGACTGAAAATGGTGGTACGTTTCCGGAGGGCTAATGCATTGCATACAACTGGACTGGATATTGGCGGGGGATATGAGTATTTCATGCTTCTTACCCACAGAGTTAGAAATAACCAGGTTCATAAAAATCGTATGTCTACTAGTGCAAACATCACTTCTCTCACACCAGTGTATTGTTTCTGTCATCCCGACGGCTCTGTTGACGCCATTCTAATCTTATTGTGACATATGGTCGGAATGATGTCACACTAGAATTGACGTCATAGCTGAAAATTGTTCATGTCTTTCGACAAATTGTGATTTACTAGGACAGCGGTGGTGATCAGTGCATTTTTCTAAAGGGGAGCTCAAGAGGATTAAGATATAATGGGTAATAAAGAAATTATTACTCACATATGTGTCATACTGATTTTATGAAACTAGTGTACGAATTCGGTATGACACACATGCTCGTGTAATAATCTCTATCTCTATGCATAAACAAAATAGAATGTTCCCAAATAATAATCACTTGTGATGGCTGTTTGAATCATTAAAACCAATTTGTAGCATGTACATTGAATTGATTCTCTCTAATCATGCCACACGGAGAGCGGAAGGTTTCGGGTTCGATTCCCGGCCGCGTCATACCAAAAGACGATCAAAGATGGTACTTGTTGTTACCCTGTCTGGAGCTTGGCATTAAGGGGCTAAAAGAAGGACTTGTCGGCTCGGAGTCAGTATACTGTGTCTTAGTGGGGTGTTCATGTTAAACTGCGGCATGGTATCTCAGTGGGCTGGCACTATAAATCGCCATCAGTCCGGACTAGTGCACGCACGCACGCACGCATCGCTATATAAATAGTGCAAAAATCTTTGATGCGACGTTAAACCCCATTTCACCTCACCTCACCTAATCATGCCAATTAGATTAAAAAAACGCTTTTCTTTTAATTAACAGAAGGCTTCAGAGCATGGGCAATGTTATGACATCTTTCACAAATAGGTTGATGGACGCAGGGTTAAAAATTTAGAAAACATTTGTTGAACACCTTGTTAGGAATGTTTAAAAGATGGAAAAAGTTATTTTGCAAAAGTAACCTGGGCTCTCGACATGGACTCCGTAGTTCTATAGGAATACCTGCAAGTGGAAGCTGTTATGGTTGACTGACTTGTAATTTCATGTCAGCTATTTTTATCAGTGACACAATATTAATTGCAAGAATAGGGGCAAACGTTTCCAATAACATTTTTTTTTATTGATCAAAACTATAATTCTTGGTCACAGGACCAATCTAAACCAGGGATTTATCTTGGATTCCAAACTAGTAGAACAAGTACATTTGCATGAAGGCCTCAGGCCCATTTACAAAGATGACTAGATGAGGTGACTAAAGGGATCGGGTGGTCAGGTTCGCTGACTTTGTTGATTTATGTCATCGTGTCCCAATTGCGTGGATCAATGTGCATGATGTCAATCACTGGATTGCCTGGTCCAGACTCAATTATTTACAGACTGCTGACATATAGCTGGAATATTGCTGAGTGCGGCAACACACAAAGAAAGAAAGATGAAGTATGAATAGTACACAGAGGTTCAACAAAAACTGTGAAATATCAGACATGTCTTGGCATTACAAATATATTGTTTACTTTTGTACAATTATTCCAAACTTAGTACCCTTGTCAGACAAAATTGGGATTAAATTTTTTTTTTTTTCACAATTGGGAATTTAAAGTTTGTATTTATTTGTTTAATAAATTCAAATGTATTGTATTCAATGCAGTATGTGAAATTATGCATTAAAGTTTCTTCCTCTTTATTATCCCCCCGGCATATAATGCGGGGGGATATAGCAATCAGCCAGTCTGTCCGTCCGTCCGTCCGTCTGTCCATCTGTCCATCCGTCTGTTTGTCCGTCCGTCCGTCCGTCCGTCCGTCCGTAATCATTTCCTTTTCCGGGGCAGAACTCGAAAACAATTCAGTGTATTTGATCAAAACTTGGCATATCTATCAGTCACATACTGAAGTTGTGCCTTTTGCTATTTCGGAATTTTAGAATATTTTATTTTTCACATTTCCATGGTAACAAGTTGGATTTAGGTTCTATAAGGGTGGTGTTCGTTTCCAGAGCGTAACTCAAAAAACGTTAAATAGTTTCTTACAAAACTTTGCATGTCTACCAGGCACATACTGAACTGGTGCCTTTTGCTTTTAAGGAATATAATAAATTTTTATTTTTTAAGTTTCCATGGTAACAAGTTGGACTTAGGTTCTATAAGGGTGGTGTTCGTTTCCGGAGCGTGGTGTTCATTTCCGGAGCGTAACTCAAAAACCGTTAAATACTTTCTTACAAAACTTTGCATGTCTACCAGGCACATACTGAACTGGTGCCTTTTGCTATTTAGAAATATTTTATTTTTTTATTTTTTACGTTTCCGTGGCAACCAGTTGGACTTAGGTTCTATAGGGAAGAGTTCGTTTCTGGGGCATAACTCAAAACTCATTCAAAACTTTCAAACAAGACTTTGCATGTCTATCAGACTCATGCTGAACTGGTGCCTTTTGCTATTTATGAATTTTAGAAATTTTTATTTTTTACGTTTACATGGCAACAAGTTGGATTTAAGTTTTCATATAGGGTGGGTTCACTTATGGAGTATAACAAATAAACTGTTAAATATTTCCTTGCCAAACATTGCATGTCTATATATAAAGTACATACTGAACTGGTGCCATTTGATATTAAGGAGTTTTAGAAATGTTTATTTTCGAATTTCCATTGCAGCTATTTTGACATGGGCTAAGAGAAATGTTGGGTCAGTTACCTGGTTTGGGACCATAACGTGTTAAAATGGGCGGGGGATATAGATGACTTCGTTGACTATACGCTTGTTTAGTTATTGTTTCTTGTAATTTGTCATTTGTTTGCATAAAAAAACCCCACAGAAACACACATGTTTTACTTTCCATTTCATATGGATGCGACTATGGTGGATCTTTGTTGGTGAACAATGTATGCTTCTTAAAGAACATTCAACTCTTGACTAATTACATACAGAATTGCACATTTACTTGTGGTTACTTTACAGACAGCTGCCGGTGGGGGGGGGATATGTCATCTTTCTGATGACTCTTGTTGGTCTTGTTATCACTGAAATACAGTCTAGGACAGTGTGAAAAGCCATGACATTAGTCGTAAGTCGTAACAATTAACATTAATTAGGAAATAATTTATTCCAGTTTGGTAATTTTAATGACATTTGCAAACATCTCAAGGAATGCTCTGTGGCACAATTGAAAATATTTTTTTGGTCCGTGCAATATGGTAAATAAGCCTACTGGTTTACTCTACATGACACATGACCTATTGGCTTTCCTGCATCACCTGTTGATGTGACCACTGATAATCCTCGATCTGTGATCACTTTCAGAATCTGAACATAAAAAGCTGAGTTCAATGAATAAGTTTATTTCACCTTCTACCCTGACAATGCTATTTCAGCCACTTTATTGGCCGTATTTGGGGAACAATGCCGGTCTTTATATGTAGTCAACACCTTTGTCAACAGCAGGGAACTGATCGCCTGTCAACTTGCGTTTGATAACTATTATCAGTAAATTATTCGGCCATGTTGCTGTCTAATCAGGTTCTCTTAATGAGGGGTGGTGATTACCATTCATTTATTCAAATTGACATTTGACACTTGACTGACCACTGATTGCATGTAGTGGGGTTGATGTGTGTTCTCTTGGAGGTTGTAAATGAGGTAAGGTAGTGCTTGTAAATGTGAAATGTGCAGCGTCTTATTTCACGGGAGTGCACACTTATGTGTTTTCTTGTTGTATAGTGGTTGCCTGTGGAAAGTACTTAATCTGGACCATTGTAATGATACAACAGCAGAACCACGGACAGCTGAGTGCTGTAATGATGTACTGATTGTTGGTGTTTCCAGTCTTGAGAGTCATAAATAATGCATCGTGGTCATTTAAAATCTTCAGTGGGAAGATGAAATATTAGACTATGCAACAAATAGACCTCTAAAATTGATGGGGTGAGTGAGTGAGTGAGTGAGTGAGTGAGTGAGTGGAGGGTGCTGCAAGCACAGTGATTTTCTTGAAAATGATACGTTACTGTGATAGTTATAAAAAGAATGCCCATGTTTGATTGCTATAATTTGTTTCCCCTCACACGCTCTTGGTCCTGGGGCAACGTTTTCGATCATGAAGGTGGGGATGGTGATATTTGTTTTATTTTGTCATGTTACTTTGGTGGTCATGTCATGATAAGATTGTCTGTGTCATCAGTAGTTCCCTGATTCGTCCTTTCCTTCATCGGCTACGAATACACAACCACGTTGTGCAGTAGTCGTGATGTGTCTATTTTTAGTCAACTAATAAGATGAATGGAAATCAAATGAGCCCTACTCCGTGCACGAACTTCGTACGAACCCTACCACTGACTGATAGTGAATATTAGCGACAAAACCATTTCCTTTATCATAAAGAGTTTCTGCTAAAAGCAGAGTCCATTGTTAGATTCCCGCCATGTCATGAGCAGGTGTGTTGAGGCACTGTCAGATAGTGATGATACCAGATGATTACACAGTTATACAGTTACTGTGAAAACATCTACCATATTCAATGTAATAAGCGCCCTGCGATATGTGTAATATATTGGCTAGTTAACAATCCCAATTAGCACCCCTTCTGATTGATCAATGTGCACAAGACTTATTTATTCGCATACAATACGCACTTGTGTGTTATATGCACCCTTAATTATGGGCAATTAAATTCTGGAAAAATATATCTGTCATACATAAACATTTCAGGCTGTCAGCATAAACCACAAAATTTATCTTTCAACTCTGTTTTTTTTCCACCAAAATAGTATTCTAATAAGAGCCCCCTATTTCTAATTTTGAGAGCGCCCTGGGCGCTTATTACGTCGAATACAGTGTTACATTGAACTTTTAGAATACTTTTTATAGGGAAACACTTCATGGCTTATTTTTATTCATAACATATTCCTTCATATTTCGCTGGTATAGCAATCATAAACAGTTATTATATAAACATTTTTTACATTAAGCTTATGATAGTTTCATAGGAGATGGATGCCTGTCATATATTCTACCATGTCTTGCATGTTTGTTTGTTTGTTGTTTAACACCACATTCAGCAACATTCCAGCTATATGATGGCGGTCTGTAAATTATCGACTCTGGACCAGACAAACCAGTTATTGACATCATGCGCATCGATCTATACAATTGGGATATGATGACATGCATCAACCAAGTCAGAGAGTTTGACAACCCGATCCTGTTAGTCGCCTCTTACGCCAAGCATGGGTTGCCAGGGTTTGAAATTAAATTGATTTCAAGTGTGCCAATGGGCACAGTTATGCCAAATTAAGTGTGCCATCACATTAGTAACATGAAGAAATACCTCCGTTTTCGAAGCTTCGTATGAATAACACATGTGTCGAAGACTGTCATGTTACACAACATTATCTACAAAGTTTATTTAGTCATCTGCACGATAGTAAACTCACCTAGAGTCTTCACGTAGCTGTAACATGCGATTTTAATACATAAAAAATGGTTTCTAATGACGCTTTCTCGCAGAAACCTGCTACAAGGTTCGGGATTGGTCAAATTTGAGCACGTGACCTAAGGCAGCCAATCAAATTACAGCAATGGTACCATCCTTGTGTATGATGAATTTCAGATTTTGACGAAAGGTTTTTTGTTAAGTCGTGTTATTCTGAACGTTTAAAGCAGGAAATCGCGATCCATATTAAAAATATGAAACTTTGTGTATGTATCGTGCTGGGTTGCGAGCTGTGACAAAGATTTTTCATGAATATATTTTGGCATTAAACATCGTGTCTGAGCCGAGAAATCAAATCAACGGAAGTCTAATGTCATTTGACTTACATTACACGCGATTGCACAAAAAGATAGAAATAATAACTTTTAGATATTTAGATATTCAGTCACTCTCATCAATAAATTAAGTGTCTGCGATGATGATGCTGAACTTGAATCCACACCTGAAACAGATCTGTCTGCAATACTGACTGTCCTTGAACCAGCACCTGACACAGATCTGTCTGCAATACTGACTGTCCTTGAACCAGCACCTGACACAGATCTGTCTGCAATTGTGACTGTCCTTGAACCAACACCTGACAAAGATCTGTCTGCAATACTGACTGTCCTTGAACCAGCACCTGACACAGATCTGTCTGCAATTGTGACTGTCCTTGAACCAACACCTGACAAAGATCTGTCTGCAATTGTGACAGTCCTTAAACCAGCACCTGACACAGATCTGTCTGCAATACTGACTGTCCTTGAACCAGCACCTGAAACAGATCCATCTGCAATTGTGACTGTCCTTGAACCAGCACCTGAAACAGATTTGTCTGCAATACTGACTGTCCTTGAACCAACACCTGACACAGATCTGCCTGCAATACTGACTGTCCTTGAACCAGCACCTGACACAGATCTGTCTGCAATTGTGACTGTTCTTGAACCAGCACCTGACACAGATCTGTCTGCAATTGTGACTGTTCTTGAACCAGCACCTGACACAGATCTGTCTGCAATACTGACTGTCCTTGAACCAACACCTGACACAAATCTGTCTGCAATACTGACTGTCCTTGAACCAGCACCTGACACAGATCTGTCTGCAATTGTGACTGTCCTTGAACCAGCACCTGACACAGATCTGTCTGCAATTGTGACTGTCCTTGAACCAGCACCTGACACAGATCTGTCTGCAATTGTGACTGTCCTTGAACCAGCACCTGACACAGATCCGTCTGCAATACTGACTGTCCTTGAACCAGCACCTGACACAGATCTGTCTGCAATTGTGACTGTCCTTGAACCAGCACCTGACACATATCTGTCTGCAATTGTGACTGTCCTTGAACCAGCACCTGACACAGATCTGTCTGCAATTGTGACTGTCCTTGAACCAGCACCTGACACAGATCTGTCTGCAATTGTGACTGTCCTTGAACCAGCACCTGACACAGATCTGTCTGCAATTGTGACTGTCCTTGAACCAACACCTGACACAAATCTGTCTGCAATACTGACTGTCCTTGAACCAACACCTGACACAGATCTGTCTGCAATTGTGACTGTCCTTGAACCAGTACCTGACACAGATCCGTCTGCAATTGTGACTGTCTCTGAACCAGCACCTGACACAGATCTGTCTGCAATTGTGACTGTCCTTGAACCAGCACCTGACACAGATCTGTCTGCAATTGTGACTGTCCTTGAACCAGCACCTGACACAGATCTGTCTGCAATTGTGACTGTTCTTGAACCAGCACCTGACACAGATCCGTCTGCAATACTGACTGTCCTTGAACCAGCACCTGAAACAGATCTGTCTGCAATACTGACTGTCCTTGAACCAGCACCTGACACAGATCTGTCTGCAATTGTGACTGTCCTTGAACCAGCACCTGACACAGATCTGTCTGCAATTGTGACTGTCCTTGAACCAGCACCTGACAAATCTGTTGGACATAGACAATCCTTGAATCCACACTGACACAGATGAACCTATTTCACATGCTTGCTGTTAAAGGCGACTATGCTTGTCGTAAGAGGCGACTAATGGGATCGGTTGGTCAGGCTCGCTGAATTGGTTGAAGCATGTCATCGCTCCCAATTGCGTGGATCGATGCTCCTGACTTATATCACTGGATTGTTTGGTCCAGACTCGATTATTTACAGACTGCTTCATATAGCTGGAAAGATACATATTGCGGCGAAAAACAACAAACAAACAAGCCAACATGCTGTTGTGGTGTAATGAAAGGGGGGTAGCATTAGTCCATTATTATTTTCCATTTATGTGAAAGAACTTGCTGATGATTATTATATTTCCGGGAGAAATGTTGAACATTATTCCTTTGTTTTGGGTGATTATATCCTTGTAGCTGATTCCGTTTTGGATATAAATATTGAAAATACAAACATATATTTTAAAAACAGGATGATGTTTGTCCAGTCATGAACATTGGACCTACAACATTATTGTACATTCCACATGCATGGTATTATTTAGGACTTAAGGTGCTTCAAAATGCTTATTGCCAAAAACTTTAACGTGTTATCAGACCAGACAAGTAAAGCTTTGAGGTCCTTATGAAGAATTATAATATTTCAGTGGAAGTTGCTTTTGATATATTTGATCAAAAATTGTACCTATATTAACAGATGGAAGTGAAGATGGGTTTTTAAAGAAGAAAACAAGATAGAATGTGTACTAGGAAAGTTTTGTGGATTGGTTGATTGCATGTTACCGAACCAGATGGGGTGGATCGTTGCTCACAACATCAAGCACGGGTTATATTGGCAGCTGGAATATTGCTGTGTGTGTACATACAGCATTCAAACAAACCCATGTGACCAAAAGTAAATACATTGACTCAATTTCATGCAAAGTTCAATCATTTCTTGACTGGTATATCTTCAAAGTATTTGATCTGTTATTGACATTTATTTGTAGGCTACACAACTGGCAAAACAAAGCCATATTGGTTTTCTAACGCATCAACTTTTGTCTGTCTTTTATATTAACATTCATGATGATTTCCTGCAACTCCACTGCTACCTATATTAGTGGATTATTTGCTGGTGACATATAACTGCTCCTGGTTTCAAAGACATACTTATCTGTCTGCTGTCTGTTGATGAGCCAAAAGCAGACAGTACAGTCATGTAGGATGTCTTATTAACAATATCACGTAATGAAGGAAGTTCTAGTGGGCGAGACAATCAGTATTGAAGTCTGTGTATCCAATTTCTTTTGTCTGGTATAACTCACAAGAGGTTTTGGTGAAAATGTCAATAGACAAGTGGCTGTGTATGTGGCTTTTCCTGCTTTTTACTGTTTGATTTTGTTGTCATTTATGAAGAAATATGACAGCAATATTGTTCAGCAAATTTATCTGTGTGTTTTTAGTAAAGTTGAAACTTGAATTTTAAAACTGTTGTAATTTAAGTGGATATATTTGTATTATGTGTTTCATGGCTAGATTTAACTATATAAAACATGCACCAGTGCAGCCTTTTATTAAAACATGAAACCTAATAGTAATGTCTTAATGCACCAAGTGCATGTTAAAAAAAGTTAAAAAATTATCTGACTATAATTAACTCAAACTTGTCCACTCCATTCTACTTGACGAATTCCTGTGTCATGTGTGATTCATGACAAGTGACACAGTCATCAGTGAACTGATATTTTACCGTTTTTAGACTAGTTTAGGCATCTAAGTTTCAACTTTATGGGGCAGGCTGCAACCTGGTATTGTCTGAGGTAAGGCCTCACTCACACATTCAGGATTTTTACTGTCATCCTTAATAGGACCATTCCCGATTAAAATTTGTCAAAAGTCTGATCAAGATCCTGTGATTCGTGGCGGGAAATTCACAAACAATCAGATATTGTTCAGGCAACCTCCCGATTCAGCCAGTTCCAGCCAAATTCGTCCCGATTCTCCCATTCTCAATCTGAATCTGATCTGATTTGTATCTTCTGCATGGTAAAAAACGACTGAATCTGTCCCGACAGCATCCCGATTCTCCCCCGAATGCGATCCGACAGAGATCCGACAGTGACCAGGCGGTGAACCGACAAAGACGGTTCGCATTCGGCAAGATCTGGACGCAATCTGGACTCAATCAACAAGAAACGGCAATGAACAATTCATGCCCGTTCATTACAACAGCGTCCCCATCTACAGAACACCGTCCAGACAACACAGGACATTGTTACGATTTTGATCCGATACAGCAGAATCTGCCACGACATAGTCATGATTGTAATCCGACTAATCAAAATCGGCTGAGTTTCCTGAATGTTACGGGACGCACCATACTGTCGGGAGTGCTTGGCCGACCTCTCTGGACCTTTCCCGATCCATAGGACTCTGTTACGAACATACATGACTGAGTTCAGACAATGATAGGACATTCCAGATCATTGAGGAAAGTAATCCGACTTTTTCACTTTTCGTGTCGTAGCACTGTCTGATCACAAACGGGAGCCATAATGAGCACTGTGAATCTGGCCTTACTAACCTTTCATTGCAACAAGCACTTGCTGCAAGTTAAATCAAGTTCTACAATGGAGCCCTGTGTTTGTTGCGTTTGTTTAATACCCCTATCAGTGGTAATGCAGCTGTAGATTTGAATATATATATAATCAAATCTAGGCCAGACAAACCAGAGATTGATTCTGTGCGCAATAATCCATGCTGTCATACCACCAAGTCAGTGAGTCTGACCACCAGATCCAGATTAAGTCACCACTTATGACGAGCATAGGTTGCTGTGGAGCTATTCTGACATAGAATCCTCATGGGAGTGTCATTTATAAGATTACCAGTCATAAAGCACACACTTAGAATTATATAAAGTGTCCACTAGATACTACTTTACATCGGAACACAGAGAAGCTTACATGGCTGAGCTGCTTCCTCCCCAAGGCAGGGGCTACATAATTGCTAGGTTAGGTATCCAACATCCAAATATCTCACAAGTGGGGAACAAAAAATTAAAATTATGAGAAGAAAATGTTGTTTTTTCCCTTGAGTCTGTTCACTCATTTCCTTAATAAACAATTTAAAACTTCAAAGGAGTTAAAAATAGGAAGGAAAGTAAGGCTTTATAACCAACTTTTGCTAACTTTCTTAAAAAATATTTTTTAACTCTTAACTCTGTTTGAGAAATTTGTTCTTTCAATAAAATAAAAAGATGCCTGAAGGGATGTAGCCTTTCAGTACCGGGTACGTTGACCTCCCAAACCCCTTGTTGTGTTGTGTTGTGGCACAAGAGTAGCTTTTCCATGATGCAATACCTGTCCCCTTTCTCCAAATGGAAAAACTAAAACTAGCCTTTAAACAAACCATAACTGTCAATAACATGAACCATACACAATCTTTTAATAGTCCCAAGACATGAATATAAACCAGAAATTACAAACACAAGACTCAGGTTAACAATTTGATTGAAGTTCGAAATCCAATTATATTTTCAAGCAACTTATTTTCAGGATGAAAGATTGAGAGGTTCAACAGGTTATGTAAATACAACTGTTGTGTGTGTAATGTCAACTTTATGACTGCTAGTTTGTCATAAGAAGTTCGACATCTGCTGACGTTCCAAAGTCATGTTCCAAAACATATGGTGACAGGTCAATCCGACATGCCAAGTGACCCAGTGCTATGGAAAAATCTCCCATTAGAGAATCTGAAAATTTCTAGAAAGACATCAAAGAACAGTCTCTTCAAGCAAGTTTTAACAAGACCTGTTATGCTCTGAGGGCATTTGAGCAGCTTTAAGTTTGAAAATGCAAAATAAAAATTCATACCGTATTTTCTTGAGTATAGTGCTCACTTTTTTTCGAAAAAACACAGCTGTGTAGAAGGGGGTGCGCATTATACACGAATTATGAGTTTGGGTGTTTTTTCCCCCCCATGGAAAGACATTACCGTGAGCACGAAACACCAGAAATACCATGTCAACAAATCCATACTGAAGTACGCAAAATAATTCTGTAATTACACTGTCTGGCTATAAAAAGTGTTCTTTGTTTATCTGGACTTATGTTTGTAACTTACTTCATTAATTTTATTCAAAATTCCTTAGAATATTGTTTTTATTAATTTCGGCGAAATTGTGTGTGAAGCGATCGGAAGATCGCACAACTCACCGTTATTAACAGCAAGCACGGTCAGAATATCGCTATTGACGCCTTGAAATGAACTTTAGTTGCCAGAGAATGGATACATATATCATAAATGACATACTTTGACTCGTTAAAAGTCATATTTGTTTTTGTTTGACGATTCTATGTCAACATGAAATTCTCGCGATCACGTGATCACGTGATCACGTGCGAGTGAGCCTTGACGGTGACTGGTCAGACATGTTCCATGTAAAAAATAATACCCGGGAATAGCGATCAGCTGCTTCGCTTAGGGCTATTATTATTTTAAATATGTTTAGTAAAGGCTGCATATAATTAAGAAAATAATGGAATGTATAATTCCTGATAAATAAAATAGTTTCAGATACAATTGTTGCCGATCCTTGCATTAAAAATCCTATAAAGTTATATCATTGGGTGTGCCTTGACCGAATCACCGGTCGATTCCAAGAAAACGTGTGTACAGCTGAAAGCCTGTGCTGTTTCCGGCTTAGTTTACGAGAAAATACACAAGGTAATCTTAATCCCTAGATATAAAACAATGCCTAGCAGAACAATAAATACTGTTTAAACGGTAAATAAATATGTCTGGTGATTTTTTATCTCAAATTTCGAATTTGTACTGACGAAGTTTCTCAGCACCCGTTCGTTTGCCAGACTTGGCTGAAAGGGTACGGTGTAAATTTTTTCTGCGCATAATATTCAAATTTCTTTTTTTTCCAAAATATTGAACCCGCTAGAGGGGGGTGCGCATTATACATGGGTGCGCACTATACTCAAGAAAATACGGTAATTTAATTTTATTAATTCTTAAGATATGACAGCACTCA